TGTTATTGCCAATAATCAAAAAGTTTTAAACTATTTTATTAACTTATTCTTAAAACAAATATTTCACATTTATTAAAAAAAATTGATAATTTGCCTTTAAAGGGAAATATAATTAACAATTGCTCTTAAATTGTGTATAAATCTTTATTTATGTACATTTCATCACAAAAAATATCAAATCATATATTTATATATTATTTATTTAGCAGATAAGAGATTATTTCACTTTTTTCTATCATTGTATATTTATCTTGAAAAGTATCCAAGTGTTATTGTTTTTTTATTTACTTTGCACTTTAAGATTTAGTCCTAAATAGTGTACTCCTCTTTTTCATCACACACATATAACCTGTCAAGACCGAAATATTCTGCATCTTAAAGATGAGGCAATGAACTTATATCTAGTCTCTCCTTTTGTATTTTGTTGCAAATCCAAAATGTTCAGTTGTTTCCTGTCTATATATTTTGCTAGAACATTGTATAATGTTCAACTTTATTGTATTGTATTGCATTGTATTGATAAATTTAATTTATCTATACATCTGTATTAAAGAACATACAAATTCCATTAAACATTTTTTATGTATATTGCAGATATTTTCTGATGATATATCTGTGATATAAACATGTATTTTTAATTGCGTTTTAAACAGTTTATCATCAACATTATAATATCAATTTTTTTTATTTGAAATAACGTTCTAGTATAATTACCCGTGCTCGTACTATAAATGACGTCATTAAAATGTAACGTGACATTGTCTTCAAAGTTTATTTTAATTCACTTAAAATTTGTATTTAAATTGTATTGTTAATGCATTTCTATCAATGTTTATCACACTTAGTATGATGATGTACTATGTACATATCAAAATAAAAAAATGTTCTGTTCTGTTCTATTCTGTACTATATACATACATGCATACAAACAAACAAACAAACATACAAACAAACAAAAAGATTTATAAAGAGTGTCAACTGTTTCTTTGAAGCAGTTGTACGTTCACAGATATATGGTTGTTCATTTGTACAAACATTTTTAAACAATTTATAGACAATTATTTGCACGTGCAATGTAATCTATGCAGGAAAAGCTAATAACAGGTGGTGCCAAAATGCTGTGCATACCCTTAACGATTACACAACGATTTCGTTAATGAATTTTACTAACGACTGATTAGCGATATGGTAACGATGCTTTCTGGTTATGCAACAAAAACAATCGTAAAAATAACTAACGTGTTCGTTACGCGATCGCTTACGCTTTCGTTAGCGTGATTTTAACGAAAGCTTCTGGTTACTCACCCCTGGTCTTCTTTACCTCCACTTTCGACACATCTCCTGAAAAACCTTGCTCACGAAATTCCTCCCCTGATCAGTATGAATGGTCATTGGACATACCCACCTGGGTATGAACTCAAACAAAACGTACCTAGCGCATGCCTCAGCTGTTTGGTCTGGCAAAGCTACCACTTCGACGTACTTCGAGAACTGGTCGGTAAATACCAAGGCATAGCGGTTCCCTCGAGGTGTGCATGGGAGTGGTCCTATGTAGTCCATTGCCAAAACGTCCCAAGGTGCTCCAGTCCTAATGGTTCCAAGTGGACCTCTTGGAGTCTTCATGGGCTTCTTGTCTGCAGCACATATGTCGCATCTTTTGATATATATTGAAATGTCTGCCTTCATTTGGTACCAGAAATACCTTTGGGCCAGCTTTTCTTTAGTCTTTTTGACTCCCATGTGACCGGCCATCGGTGCATCATGCATTTGGAAGAGCACATGCTTCCTTAATTTTTGTGGTACTATTATCTGGTATTGCTGTCCTGTACCATCTTGCTTCTTGAAGATTTTTATCAACACTCCGTCAGTGACCTCTAATGCCTCCCACAACAAGAAATAATGCCTACTTGCTGGACTCCATGCAGCGATGTCTCGGTCTGATGGCCTTTTACCCTCAGACTTTGCCTCTAGCACCACCTTGACATCTGGATCGTCCTCCTGACTCTTCTTAATTTCCGCCACGGTATATCCTGACAGAATTCCCTGCAGGCATTGTTCAGGCAGCTTTTCTCTGTTAGTCGTGGGTGTTACTATTGTTACTATTACTGTCCTCACTGCTTTTGTTTCTTCAGTGATTTCCTTCTCATTACGCAAGATCAGGCTGGGCCATCACTATTCCTGCATATGAACCATCCCACATCATGCTTTCTGCCCTCTTTTGGCACTTCATACATGGCCCACATTTCAGCGGTTCCATCATGTCGACATATGCACATTGGCAGTCTTTTTGGCGTTTCACATCTCGAGAGTGCATCAAAATGGCCTTGTTTGTGCCCTGGTCGGTATTCAATCCAAATCATAATTTTAACCACCTTGCTGTTTTTCCGCGTGGTTCCTTCAACTTAAAAAGATAAACCAGCGCCCTGTGGTCTGTTCGAACCCGGAACCTTCCATTGTAATCCATGCAAAGCTATTTCCATTGTCCTCTGGAACGTACTGGCCGCATTGTTCAGGCCAAATGGCATTCTAATTATTTCATATTGCCCGAATTTGCACACAAATGCGGTCTTTTGGACATCTTCCTCTTTCATCGGGATCTGAAAATAACCGATAGTCAAGTCAAAGGTGCTGAGTAGTGTCGATCCTGCCACAAAGTCCAGGCAGTCCTGTACACGAGGCATCGGAAATCCGTCTGGTTTAACCGAATTAAGTTCAACTTTCGGAAGACGACACATGGTCTAACTGACCCGTTTTTCTTGCGAACAAGCACAAGTGGAGATGCCCATGGAAATGTGCTCTCCCTTATCAACCCCTTTGCTTTCAGGTCTTCTATTGCTGCCTTTTCTTCATCTGCGAATGCTAATGGCACTTTCCTTGTCTTTGTCACCGCCCATTGTTTTCTCGTTTAGGGCACACCCTTTTTATTACTTGGGCGGATGTTTCTAAATTTTACTATTTCATGTTTTAATGTTGAATTCTGCTTAAGCCGGTGCTAGGGGGCGTGGACGGTAACTTACACTTTCCAGTACCGTCCATGAACAGGCTCAATCAAACCGAGCCTGCAACATTTTCAATTTTGCCGTGTTGGTCTTCTTTAGGGATTCTGTTTTTATCTATTTTGCTTGATTGGGCGTGCATTGCCGGCATTGATGCCATGTTCTGCTAATTCAGTAAGGCCTATATCCCACTCATTCTTCGAGAAAACTTCTTGATGGCGAATTAACAAATTAGCTATTTTATTTTTTTCATTATCCTTGAGATCTTTGCACTTGGCTTCATACAGCTTGTTCAGGTGCCCAGGAACTTTTGTTGGGGAATTTACTTGCTTTCTATAATGTGTAACGTGCATGGGCTAGCTGTTATATATTATTATTCTTATGGCTACTTTGCCAGTTGATTGGTTACAAATGATTATACAATAATTTGTTCAAACTTTGGAATCAGGTTTATTTAACTAATGTTATGACAGTAACGTGCTTGAAAAAAAATAAGTTTTCCTTGAACTTGATTTAAAATTGGGGTGACACTTTTAAGGCTATTTGATATATATAGAAAAACCACTTGGATATCGAGTTTTCAATAATTTAGTAAGAACAATTCCACCTAACGCAATGTTAAATTGATGCAATTGATATACTTCGTAAATAGTGCAAGAATCCAAGTAATTAATCTAAATTATTAATATATTATTCTCGAGGTGTTGACACTTCGTCAGCTGGACAGAGACTGATTGTCCGCAGCTTTGAGCGTTATGTATACCCAATTATGTACATGTAGTTATATTTAATGATCGTTTACTGAAGTTGAAGAAATCAAGCATCCAAGAGATATTGATAATGGTTCGAATATTGGTACGAATAGCATTGAGTTCGAATGATTTTAAGTACGAATTGTTCTGATATTTTAGAATTTATAAAAATATGCCCATTATATCAAATAATTGCTATGAATAAGTTGTTAAATCTTATCATTTAATTTTTATGTATTTTTTACTTATTTATAAAAGATCAAACTCTACTTTTAAACACAAGATAACATATTTGTTTACAATTTATTTAAGTATAAACCCACTAAATATCATTATAGAATTTAGGCAGAAGAGAACAATCGTCACACATGTTTTGTGATTTCCGTATTTTGCGCTGGAATCTGTATTCTTCTAACAGCTGAGAAATTTCCCTCTTCTTGATCTGATTCACGCGGAGTCAGCACACTCACATATTCTCCTATTCGTTCAGCACTTCCAAGTATGGCGTCCTGTCTGATAGACACTGGCGTTGGATACGGGTTAAGCAGTCTTACTTTGCTGGTGTTACTTTTGTTAATGTCAACTAATGATGCTGCCATGCGCAACGGATAGTTGCCTATAAAGTGTTCTGTAGGTTCTATCAAAAAATGTGATTCCTCTACCAGATCATCAATATCATTTCGTTCAATTGTAACGTCTACTAAAGTCTCGCTATAGCCTTGTATTTCTACTGTATCCGTCGCAGTAACCTTTCTAACATGACTAGACATTCCTATCTGGGTGCATGGGATCTCATGACCTTGAAGTTTTATAAATCCTTTGCTGAGCATCATATCTGCAGGCCCTCCGTTACCATTCTGAAGCACATCTATTCCAAGAAGGCAATCATCTTCTATATCAGCGACAACCATCTCCTGCTGTAAGCTCAGTGATCCCATCTGTAACGAGAAAACCCCCTTCCCTGATTCATTTAATGGAGCTCCACCTGCTCCCTTAAGCATATTTGATTTTTCTAAGGTTGGCCTATTCTTATCTTCAATCTTATTAAAGAATCTGATTGACAGAACTGTTCTTGATGCTCCGGTGTCTGCTGTGAGGACAGTTGGAATGCCTTGAATGCTGCCTCTTATATAAATTCCATCACATAGTCCAGCTTTCCTTCTTAGCGCCATTGGTCTCACAGCGGAACCGTCATCCCGTTTCTTTTGGCCATTAGTTTGGACCTCCCTATGGCCACAAGGGTAGGTCCGTTCTAGTTTAAAGGACTGTTAGACGAACCGGTGTTATAAAAATCTCGTGCATTACCCTTGTCTCCCCTATCAATACCTCTCCCTTGGCCTCCACGACCATCGTATCTGCCGTATCCTGGTCGTCTCTTAGGGCAATCTCTCGAAAAGTGTCCCTTTTGTCTGCAGTTGAAGCAAGTTACATCTGATTTGCTATCTTTCCTAACGTTGTCTCGACTCTTGTTTGTCTCTACCACTTCCTTCAGTTTCATTTCCATTTCCTTAATTTGAGTTTTCAGGGCATCAAGTTCAGTATTCGCGGTCACATTTTGGTCATCCAACAAGGCAGTCTGTTTCCTTTTGCTCACTTCGCCGTTTCCTTCTTTTGGACCTCCTGAGGTAGTTCTGACTCTGTTCTGATCTTCATCTTCACTGTCTCGATCAAGTTCTCGTGCTACGCGTGTACCCCGTCTGTTACTTCTTCCTTCATGGTGCCTATCTATTACTATGTTCTTACGACTATAAACGTAGTTTACCACCTGTGACACTGCCTCATCAATGTTACTAGGTTCCTTGTGATATTCTACATGAAACCTTGCCTCATCATCATTAAGTCCATCTATAAATTTACGCAGCAGATCTTCTTGTCTTGTGTACTTATCTCTATTCTGGTGTGCTTTATCGTAGAGTCTTTTCAGATCAGCAGCATACTCTTCCGCTGTTTCCTCAGCCTTCTGCGTCCTCCTAGCAAATTTACTGGCGAGTTCTCATTTAAAAGCGTGTTTACTAACAATCTGACTGGCTGTTTATATTGACTTCAAAAAATCTTTTTCTAGCATTAACAGATGGTTTCCGAGAAAACTGCATCTAATTTCACGATCATATCTAAGCACAGTTTTATTTTGAACAGAAAAAACATGCAGCCATTGGCTGAAAACAATAAAATTGAAACCTGGTGAAATGATTATGATATAGAAATGATCAGATGCATAGCAACAATAAGATGTAACAATGATAACATACATGTAAAAACAATGATAAATCGAAATGAGTCAGTGATTTTTTGCAAAACATCAATTATAAAACCAATTGTGGCGTTTGAATTGGGAAAATTAGCGCAATAAGTCTAAAATTTGAAAAATTCAAAATGGTAGGAACGATATAAAAACCAACAACTTGTATAAGTATAACCTGAATAAAGCAACTGTTCTAGAGTTAAAATTCACAGTGACACAATGTGGCAGTTTCCAATCCAAAAGACCAATATACATGTATATGTTAGATTTTGTTTATATATATTTCTTTCAATTGGGAAACTACCAGTTTTCGGGGGGAAAAAGCTTATATTTTGGGAAAAATAGTTCATTTCCAATTGGGAAACAGCCTTTAAAAATTCACTGTGAGTATTAACTATATAAAACAATCTTAATGGTCATGATGTCCAACAATAAATCACTTAAACAGTACCAAAAGCTGAAAATAAAACAACCATTTACTTATAACAAGACTTACCACTGCAGGTAATAAACACTTTCCATGTTGAACTAGGACATAGTCTCCTGTTCTAAACCTGGTTTAATAATTTTAAACACAATTGTTAATGTATTTGAACTAATTGAATATACTGACTACATATTCAAGGGATGTCGTATTTAAAATCTTGAAATGGCATGAATGACTCTTGAAAACAGAAACAAGAGGCCCAAGAGAGCATACATGTATGCGCTCTACTTGTTTATATTTATAAAGGTTATTGAGACTTTTACTTTACCTTGACTGGATTTCACGTCCTGGCAAGTCAACATCATCACCACCAGCAATGGTTATCTCCTCAGTTTGATTGGGTCTGGGGGTGCCATCAGGTGTAGGCCTAGTGTCCTCAGGTGTGGGGGTGCCATCAGGTGTAGGCCTAGTGTCCTCAGGTGTGGGGGTGCCATCAGGTGTGGGCCCGGTGTCCTCAGGTGTGGGGGTGCCATCAGGTGTGGGCCCGGTGTCCTCAGGTGTGGGGGTGCCATCAGGTGTGGGCCCGGTGTCCTCAGGTGTGGGGGGTGCCATCAGGTGTGGGCCCGGTTTCCTCAGGTGTGGGGATGCCATCAGGTGTGGGCCCGGTGTCATCAGGTGTGGGGGTGCCATCACGTGTGGGCCCAGTGTCCTCAGGTGTGGGAGTGCCATCAGGTGTGGGCCCGGTGTCCTCAGGTGTGGGGGTGCCATCAGGTTTAGAGGTGCCATCACGCGTGAAGGTGGGGTCAATGTCTTTGGTACCGTTACTTCAATAAAGCATCATTAATAAACATTGCATACAGGACTCAATCTATTAATCAATTTGATGTTATAGTAAGATTCTTCCAATGTCATTTATTCTATAAAACTAAGACTGTACTTGACATTTTGCAGGTCATTGAAGGTATCTATCTAAGTAAATTGTAATTGATATTTATAAAGGTTACTGAAACTTTTACTTTACCTTGACTGAATTTCACGTCCTGACAAGTCAGTATCATCATCCCACTTGGCAACTTCACCAGTCTTTGTTATCTCAGCAATTCCCTCAGGTGTGGCGGTGCTATCAGGCGTGGGGATGCTCGAGGACCTGTGCAATGAGACATCATACTCGTGATGTTATCAAATACATGTAGTTGTCTTTGAGAAATCAAATCTGTGACCAGCATTGACCCAGTCAAATTTCAAGACACTAAATTTTATTCTACTTAAGACATTTATACAAGCATGTCAAGTTACCAAGCAATAGCTATGAGAGTATTGAAGTTAGAGACCATAAACAAAAACTTAGAAAAGAACTTCACATTTCAAAACTTTTCTTCTCAAGATTTATAAGCATAAGAAAAGACCACATTTAAAACTTATCTCCCCTGTATGGATTCTCAAGAAAACTTAACCGACACCGACAACTGGTTTATAACACTGCTTTTTCTTTGAAAAGTGGACCTAAAATTAAAAGGCTCGAAAAGTACCTAAACTTACAGAGTAGTAAGGATGGTGTCCATCATGGAATCATCCAGGGATAGATCAGCATCTTCTTCATTGAAGTCGAAGCCGTCAATCATGCCACTCAAATCTCCCATCATTTCAGTGAAATATGACAGTCGTGTGGTAGGTAAAAGTGGCACAAAGTGGTTTGGTATCCAATGTTGTGGTACCATATCTGTTCGCGTGGATGTCCACATTACTGTAACGCTTGGTTCATTGTGGTCACCTTGCCTTGGAAGTATGCTTCTATTCAGCACCTGCTTCACGGAACTCTGACCTATGATTGGGTACAGTGAAGTGATTTTCTTTTTTAGAACAGAGCTTAAGGCAAACAGCTGCCATATGCCCATATATGAACCTCTTTTACAGATTTTCACCGTCTCTTCTTCAAATATATTTTCTGTGTCTGTTTTTGTTACTTTGTTACCAGGTATATATTGCTCCGAAAACATTGTGTAGGTTCGATCAAGGAATTTGGATTCTTGTTCTGGAAAGTTTTCACCTCTGTTCAAATAATTGTTATCAATGTACAAGTCCGAGTTCAGACACTGTTCAATGGCTATTCTCACTCTCATTTCTTCTTGTGCGCTTTCATTGCCAAATAACAATATGCTACCTGTTCTAGGCAAACAGTTGCCGTCCGCCGTAACATTTACTGGCAACATCCCTCCAGTGCGTATTTCTTCCGGAATAAGTGTCAGAGCTATCTGATCGGCTGTGTATTTCCCGTCTGCAAAACTGAATGGATACTTCTCATTATTTCTGTATGAAGGGCTGAGCTTACTTCTTTCAGTTTTGCAAATCCTTCTGATCCTGATAGTTCCATTATGGTTAATAATGAACTGAAATACTGCTGACGTTCATTTTCTGCATTTGATGTTTCTGATCGTCCTCTTGTTTTACCTGTCTGTGGTTTTTCGTCTGATTGTTTCACTGTTTTACCTTTCTTTGGTTTTTCTTCTGATTGTCTTGTTTTACCTGTCTCTGGTTTTTCTTCTGATTGTTTCACTGTTTCACCTTTCTTTGGTTTTTCTTCTGATTGTCTTGTTTTACCTGTCTGTGGTTTTTCTTCTGATTGTTTCACTGTTTTACCTTGCTTTGGGTTTTCTTCTGATTGTCTTGTTTTACCTGCCTTTGGTTTCACTGATGTGGACTTCTTTGATTCATCACCTGCTTGAGTTTTACTTGACTTTGTTTGTTCTACGAGGGTCGTCTCTTTATACGAGTTCACATACTTTGAATTCAAACAATCTGGGTTGCCAGCTTCACACTTTATGCAAAAACACGACAGATTTCGAGCCTTGAAAGTGTTTCTGGTTTGAAGATTCAATACTTAGTGGATTTTTCTAGTGTCCTGCACAGTCTGTGCTTTCATTATACCAGGTCTCTCTCTGTCTATTTCTCCTAATTTCACTAAATGAAATGTTCTTTTTGAAAACGGCGAGTCTGATTCCAAATTTTTCTTACAGTATTGGTACAGATGTTCTGCATCATTTATAACCGTCTGATTAGCTACAATAGCTCTGTCAATACACCGATTCACAACACCTGTTTCAGCGTCACATTCACTTTTTCCGTGTTCAGAACCATAGTAATTTCGATTGATAACATCACTTGAATCTGCCAATTCAGCAAACGGTCCCTTGGACTTATACTGACAGCTACATCCATCGCTAAAGATGACTTTCCTGTTTGGTTTGCAGCCTCCAAGTTCCTCTTCAAGTTCAATATCAACTATCTCCTGAAAATGCTGAACTGCATAATAATCATGGCCGTTATCCTCTGAGATCAGAGAGATCTAAACCAGTGTCTGCCTTGTAAAATGTGATGATTGGGTGCATTGTAATTTGGCCAGCTGTATAGAATGCTCCCTTGATTTCATCTTAATATTTGATTTCTCTATTCTTTGCAAAGTCCATGACTTGTAAAATGTCACAAGTGGGAAGTTGATTCTTGATTTGATTGAACTGAGCAATTTGCCAATGTGCTGTGTGAATGTGTTGGAAATAGCTAATTGCTTGAACTGGTCTCTTAAGATCATTTTCAACAAACTCCTCCAAGCATGCCTGCTTGTTGCCTTGCTTTGTCACAACCACTCTCTTGCGTTTGCCTTTTTCTGTCTCTCTGTACTCCCATCTTGTCCATGTTAATTGTTTATCATCTGGGACAGTACGATAAAACTGATTCAAAGTATCCATATAGTTCATGCAATCACTACAGTTAGCATTGATGCAATCAGGGTCGTGATATCTTTGGCCATCACGTTTTGGGCAGAGCACAATATCTAGAACATCAGTTTCACATGTTTTTTTCTTGTCCTTGTCAACAACAGCTCTACTCAAGCAAAGCATTTTGTAACGTACATTGACGCAATAAACACAACAACAAAATTCCCTATCAGAAACACTCAATAGACGAACATTCTTTGTCCGCAATGCAGAGAACTTGCCAAGGCTCACACGTTTTGTTGGATTTTCAGCTAAATATTTAGAATGTGCTGCTTTTAGAGATACTTGCATCGCATACCCAGGTCCATCCTTTGTTGTGTATCTCTTCCCTGGCAAGACTCTGGAAATATCTTCCCGAAGAAAAAATGTCTGAATTGAATTTCTATCAACGTGAGATTTTCTTTTCATGATAGAACCTTTTTTATGTGCGATATGTCCTGCTCTATATTTTTTTACTAAATGCTCAGCGACAATGACAGAAGAAGCCTTCGAACTGTTCAACACCTGTTTAATAGCTAGTACCTTTCTGGCATATTGCACACTTGTAGTTGACTTTGAAATTTTCAGCTGTTTTAGAGCTTCGACTTTCCTTGGTGATGCTTTGGACAGCAAATTATCCACAACTTTCGCAAATTTTGTTGGTGATTTAGGTATACTTTTCCTTACTTTTGATGTTATATTGTACTCTGTTTTTTAGACGCAAACGGACTTCCTGTTGATGTTGATAAAATTTCCTTTAGTTTCGCTGCTTCTTTTCTATTTTTCTTTTTTCTTTCTCTGTCCTTCTTTCTAATCCACATCTTTTTTTGCCACGACATTTCCTGTCTTTCTTTTCTTTTCTTTTGTCTATTGTACTCCCTTCTTGTTTCAATAATGTTCCTAGTTTGAGGTTTAGCCTTTGTACTAGGTGTTGAACTTTGGATGCTTATCCCTTGTTCTTTCTTTCTCTCCATATACCTGTGAAAAACAAGTTTAAACAAGAGCTATTTATAAATACTTACATTGCTAAACATGTGTTAATAATGGTTTCGAAAGATTTGTACTAGTGACCAAGTATGATCCAGTTTCGAAACTGACCTAGATTTCATTGACACAAACAATTTGAAATAAGAGATCACAGAGTGATCTTGACGCCCACCATAGACCCATTTGTGGATGTTCCAAATTTTATCAAATCATTAAAGGCAATTCGGCGATCTTTTAATCCGTTCTATATGTCTAGATTACATTTTCATATGACGCAGCTAAGTGAATTTTTGTCATGTGTTGTGATCCATTTCAGTGTTTAATATTCTATGAAATGTACTAAATTCAATGCTAGATTTTACCGACCTTTTTTGTCTGCGTCTCTGCATCTCATTTTGATGTGCTTTTTTGGCTTTAGATTGCTCATTTCCTTTTTTCTTCTGTAACTCCCTTTTCAGTTCCTCACGCCTCTGTTTGGCTGTCACCTTCTATTTATCTAGATAAATTCTGTACCTTTCTGGATCGTCCGTTTTCATTTTATTTCGAGACAGGGCAGACTTACTCTTGTGAGTTCCTGAAAACCAAACATATCTTTCTTCATATGTCAGCAAAATGAATTCTTGATTAGAGAGCTCTTGCTTCTGAATGAAGAATAAATTTTGTATCCCACTATGAATTTAGTGTTTATTCTAGGAATTTAGGCAGGTGTGGTGTTGTTCCCCAAAAGGGGCACATTTTAGCGTGTTCGATAAATAATAAAGGCAAAACAATATCATTACCATATGTCTTTTTTGTCTTAATTGTAAACAGTTTAAAAGTACATAAATTATGAAATGGAAGAAAAAATCAAGATAATGATAAGATTTCTATTTGTTATTATAATTGTTTTACTAATATTTATTTGTTTCAACAAAGCTTGGGCTGGGACACCAGACTTGTCTCCCGGATATTGTCACGAAAAAAAATAATAAAATATTGTGTGAAATAAGATAAAACCAGCAGAGATTAAACCATATATAGTGTAGAGATCCTTCAATATAAAGTAAG